TTCTCTCCCTGTCTCCCTCTTTTCCCCGATCTCTCCCGTGTTCTCTCCCCGTCTCTCTCCGTGTCCCCTTTTCCCCGATCTCTCTCCCGTGTCTCTCTCCCCGTCTCTCTCCGTGTCTCTCTCCGTGTCTCCCTCTTTTCCCCGATCCCTCTCCCCGTGTCTCTCTCTACGTTTCCAAGACACGTGTTGACGCTTCGCGTTGCTCAGCAACCAATTGCGCCCCTGCGTCACATGACGCGGAAGTCCACCCCCCTCCCCGCGCGCACGGAACCACGTGACAACAACACGAGCAAGCACGTGGCCGACCTCACCATTCGGGTGGCGGACGATTTCGGGAGCGCCGCGTGGGTTTTTAAATATTTTCTGTTATTTGTTACAAGAAACAACAATAGCAAACACAGAACGGCGGAGGGGAGGGGGCGGCACAGTCCAGCAGCACTGCAACTCATACAGCACGGCAGCACCGACGAGACCCCGCCGTGCCTGCGCGTGGGTCGCATCATCATCATCTTGGACATAAATACATGGTGTGACGTTCATGTAAAAAGCTGCATAACCTCATAAAACACACAAGACACGGGATTTTTTTTTTTAACACCTAAATAACGTTATAGAAAACAAGAATTGCCGCGCGACTTTTAAGTACGTACAACAAAATATCCCGTGACCCCCATTCTAAAAAAAAATCCCTCAGTCAAACAAACACTGCACTTACCCCCCCTACCTCCCCAAGACTCCGCCGTAGCTTCAATACTCTTGCTGTCCCGATCCACGGCTAATACAGACGCGCGACATTACAATCCCCCCCCCACACCACACCAATGTAGCCCGGTCGATCGGTCCGGCAGGCGTGTTTCTATGTACACTTTGTCCCCTTTAAATACACCCGTGGGAACAACACGCAAGCTACGCACACTTAAAGAGGTCTCTGTACAGCACTCGGGATGGCAGTTACGTCTGGGGGTCATCACTTTTTTACACGGCTAAAACTACGACCACTTTCACCCTTACCGAGGATTGCAATGGCAAATGAAAAAATATATATCAGTAATAGTACAAATAAACAACAAAGATGTATGTAATCGTGAAGACCCGCACAGAGGCTGTGGCCAGCCACCACACGGCTAATTTATGAAGGGAGGACGCGATCCAAACACGACGGATATACAGTAAACCCTGCAAACCAGCAACATCCTTTTCAGAGTGTACTGCAAAATGAGACCCAGTTCAAACTCGTACGTAAACAGTGCTGCTGGGCATTGGTCCAGAAAGCCCACAAACTGATGGGACTAAAATAATTTACTTGAATGTGGCGACGCGAACCGGGACCATTTTATCCACTGACACCGTAAAGCCTTGAATGGTTTTCGCGTCGATCGCGAAATCTCATCGTAGCGAGCAGTTCTTTCGTAGGAAAGATATTGTGCGACTTTTAAATGAACATTACCCGCTCTGAAATGGCTCAGAAATGATGAAACTATGGGAAGATAAAAAAAATCACGGTGAGGTGCACGCTGACACCGATAAGCAAGTGCAAGCGTGTGGATTCTTGCATCCAGACTGCGTGATCGCAGAGCCACGCGGTGGCCGTGTGCCATTTTTGTCGCCCTCCACCGAACTTGGTGGATGGTCATCAACAATACGCAATATATTGTTTTCTTTTTAAACTAAAATATTTTTCATTTTAAACCAGGTAAGGCCCCACTGAGCTATACAGCTATTTTTCGGAAGCGGCCTGGGCTATCACAAATGATAAACTCAACGAAGTGGTTTATTATCGCGTGGAAAATTTACAGCAGCCAAATACTCGAGACACGTGTTTCTAAATGTGGAGGGAAAACCCCAGAAGACCCGGAGAAAAATCCACGCGACCACGGAGAGAGAAACATGCAAACTCCAAATATACAGCAGCAGGCGTCAGAGTCGGATCAAACACCACGACCTCCTGTATACCAGGCGAGGCAGATAACATCTCGGCCAGCGCCACAGCTGCAGCGTCGGGTTGTCGTGAAGACCCCAACGGTGGAGGTTGGCTGCACAGAGACCTTTCCCTGTCTGGAACCTGTTCAACAAGGCACCACTGGCGGTGTGGCAGATGGAGCCATGTTTACAGACTGTAGATCCCCGGATAGGGAAACGTTTGGTGCTTATTTTCCCCTCCATTCCTCACGCCAGCTGCTCTCTGCCAAGCAGTGATCCTCCCAGCAAACCGAATAAAGGCAAAGCATTGACTAGGGAAAGCCAAATGGGCTTGGGGTAAGCGACGATAGTCGAGACCAGTGACAGAAACGGTGACCCGCAGAGATGGAGCGATGAGATTCAGGGTCATGAGCCGCAGACTGAGGTGGAGAGGACTAGCAGCACTGGACTACGAGGTACCGGCCACGGCGTGGGGGAGGCCGTCATCCACCAGGGGAGAGAGATTACGGCTCGTGATAAAATGCTCCAAAAGAACACACGAGTCCGGACTAGAATTAACGGCTCTTCTTCTCTCGTAGGCTCCATCCCTGGCTGCCCCCCCCCCACACGGTTCAAGCTTCGTGGGAAAATTACCATTTTGGAGTTACAGCCAGAAGCGCCATTATAGCTATCGGCCACATCTGTCTTCAAGAAAAACTATTCATGAGCTGGTTGGGTGTATTCCTAAAATGTTTTTGTTTTAGTTCACAAAGCTTAAGGGGGGCTCCATCGTGGCTGTGATGCTCAGTGCCATTGCACTGACTCTCCCAATTCCCGTGACTTTCCACAATCAGAGGGGATTTATTTCCTTTTGTGGTATCGATTTAAATCACTTGCAACGACCAGTAAAAAAAAAAATCGGTCATCTGTTTTGCCGCACGTAACCGATGAGTCAGCCGCCAGTGCCTTGCGGTGGCTGCCGTTGACTGATCACGCTGATTCGATCACGCTGAACCGCGTGCCGTGCCGTCGGAGCGTTTTGCGCGAATCGGGTTTCGCACCGTAACTAAAATCATTGAACTGGATTCCGTCATCGAATCTGTGACTTTCGTATTTGAAAATGAATTCCAAATACAGTAACAGCAACAAAAACTTACAAAAAAAATACGATTAACATTGTATTTTTGCATCGTTTCTAGTTTGTCTCGTTAGCGGAGATTTGTACACTCTTGTGGCCAGTTCCCCGAGAACACGGATTTAGAGAAATGAACGGCTGCATCATTCGGGTTGCGTCTTCCCTTTAAATCGCCTTCGAGTGTCGCGGGGGGAGGGGTAACAAATGTGCAAGACACGAACTTTAAAGTCAACTTAGGCCTGAGGTTTTTCACCACTTTGTACAACAACAACAACAAAACACGACAGCAGCGATATTTCCCATTCTTTCCACGCCAAAATTAACCACATTTTTTCTCTGGGCCCTTCACCAAGAGGGACCCCAAGCCGGTCTGGGTACAATTGTGGAGTTGTTTTTATTTGGGGTGGGGCGGGGACAAGTAGCCATGGGGGAGAGCCATGTAGAGTAGCCAA